CAATCCAAAAGGAGAAAAACAAAATCCCGGCGACAGTCTTCTTGCAATCTTGGCTCCCTGGCCCTGGATGTCAGTGAGGTTGATGACCGCACTCGCAAGTGCTCCGATTGCGCAGCTGCTTCTCACGGTTCTGGATGCAAATACGCAAATTACACAAAACCCAGAAACAAATACGCAAATTACACAAAACCGTCTAGAGTAATCTGCTATGTAATCTCATGCTCGAACGATGGGGCGAGTGCCAGTCGCCGCGCGACCTGGAGCCCGCGAGCATGTCTGTTGGCTCCCGCCTAGGCTCCCGCCGTCCGGTGTGCAAGCCCAGGGCAGAGCCAGAGGCCGCCGACACACGATGCATTGCGCTTGAGGACCTCTGTGAGATGAGCATGAGGAGGAGGACCTCTGTGCCTTTGAGGACCTCTCGGACGTGAGGACCTCTTCGTCTGCGGCGCGCTCCCTCTTAGGGGCTCAGCTTAACCCTGCATCCGTCGGAGGAGAGTTGCCTAGCTAGCACCTACCATTCCCTCCCTCCCAGGGAGAGAGTAGAAGGCAGCTAGGTGGATGGAAATTGAACGTGCCAGTTAGTTGGAGCGTCAGTCAGGCCAGCTGAATCCGAATCGTATACATAAAAACAATCTTTTTCTGCTTCTAGCGGGTTTGGTGCGGATGGTCAGCACTTGAGGTTGGCCAACTGGACCTGCTCACAACGCGTTTGTCGTTGGTAAAGACGGTGTTTACTTGACAGGGAGCTAGGGCTGGAGTCCAGCGCCTGCACTGCCGCCGGAAAGTTGTACACGCCGGGCGAGAGGCGGAGCGTTTTCTCCCCGCTGCCGTCCCACGCGTCTGGGTGTGAGACGGAGGGTAGGCCACCCGTCTCAGCCTAAGGGAAGGGTCCGAGAAGGCTCGAGCACGATCCAGGGAAAACTGAGGAAAGGCCTCGCGTCTCTGCCGGCGACTCGCTTACAGACACGCCGAGGAAGGCGGCCGCTTCCGCCGCCGTCTCGCCCAGAGCGTTGGTGAGGGCCGCTGCGAGCGAGGTCGCCGACGACTCGTCGCCGGCTTGCAAGGTGACCAAGACGGCGTGCTCCTCGAGACGGCGGAGGCGGCGTCGGCCGTCGCCGCCGCAGGAGACGTCGCACTGGCTCGGGAGGAGGCCAGAGAGGCTGCTGACGGAGGCGCACACTGTTGCAGTGAAGGCGGCGCTACACTCATCAGCCGTTTTGAAGGAGAATCCGACCGCGTACGACTCGTCCTCCTCGCCGCCCGAGCCGTGCTCGCCATCGCCGTCCCCGGAGCCGCCCTCGTCGGCGCCGCCCGAGCCAGAGTCCTCCTCCCCAGAGCCCGACTCCTCCCCAGAGCCCGCCTCGTCGCCCTCGCCCGAGCCAAAGTCGCCGTCGCCCGAGTCGTCGCCGTCCCCGGAGCCAATGTCACCAGCCTCGTCCCCCTCGCCCGACCCAAAGTCGCCGATCTCGTCGCCAGAGAACTCAGGGCTATCCTCGAGCCGCCTCTCCACCGCAGGCTCTACCGCCGTCTGCGCGGGCGGAGGGGGAGCTGCCCGCCCTCGGGCTGTAGCTCCTCGGGAGGTGAAGCTAAAGCCTGGAAAAAGGACGCGTAGAAGCTGCGCCTCGTTGGTCACCTCGACGTGCCCCTCGGGAAGCGGAGCCAGGGGCGGGGACGGCGCGACAGGCGGCGGAGGGGGCGGGGACGGCTCCTGCGCCTCGCCCGGCGTCGAAGGCGGTGCGGGAGGTGAGGGTGGCGCGGCGGGAAGCGGAGGGAGGAGTGGCACGAGGTCGCGTGGGCCGCAGTCTGCGCAGTCCTCGGCGTACGGGCAGACGCTGTACTCGGAGCCCGGACCGCCGTCGTCGCAGACGCCTAATTGCGGCAAGGGGCGGCGGTGAAGGAGAGACGCGCAGCACGAGCACGGACAGAAGTGCGG